AGATCCATTTTCTTAAATGCCGTGGCTGAGTTCTGGAGCAAAGGTGGCGCCACGCTTCAGCTCATAAAAGCTGCTGTGGGAGTAGTAGACCCAGGACCTAAAACATTTCATAGTTGTCTTCTTTAAATATCCTGTTGCATGACTCCTAATAGAATCCCTGAATTATGCAAAGCAAGGTATCTTTCTCTCTTATTGTATTTATTATGCTGACAAAAGTATTCAAATATTAAAACTCACCCAGAGTGAACAATTAGGTACGTGTGCTCAGGCTTGATAGGGAGACAGGGATGATGCCCATGACTGATGCACCTGCCCAGCCTTGGCAGCTCCCAGTCTCCCATGGCCGTCCCCAAGTGGCTGTCCAGAGACCTCCCCGGTCCCACTCTCAGGGCCCACTTTGTTGTCTTCACAGCTGACTCAGTGTGGGAAATAGTTACCTGCCTGCCTCTCCCCACTGAGTTCTGTAAGGGGAGGAACTTTGCCCACCATGTGCTTAGAATCCCAGGACTTAGAAGAGACACCTACAAGCATCTGCTGAGCCAGGGAGTGTCCTCTGGAGGGAGAGGGGCTGTTCATGGCACTCTCCAATCTTGAACAACAGCAGGGCAGAAGGCAGACGGCCCCTCCAGGACTGCCTTTGCTGTCTCTCCTCCCTCAGTCTCTCCCAGCTCTGCTGCTTCTCACACCCAGCCTGGCCCCGGGTGTTCTTCTCCCACCAGCCCAGGATATGTGGAAGGATAAGCAAACCATGCGCCATCGACCCAATTTCATTTATCCGCTCTGCCATGAAACTTGGTCGCTGGAGAATCTCCCTGTAAAGCACAGTTTCTATGTTTTCTGAGCCAGAAACGTGGTTATTTAATAATTTTAATTAGGTATTCTTAAATTGGGTCTTCTTAATGTAAATTAAAGCTATGAGATGTGCCAAAATCTAAAAGTTAAATAACATATTCTGTTGGTGAATCCATGGGGAAGCAAGCATTTTCCTAACACTGTTGGTGAGAATGCAAAATGGTACAGCCCCTGTGGGGGTAATTTGGCAATAGCTAGCAAAATTACATGTACATTACAGGGTATGGATGTGCATTTGTTATTTTGTCAGGAAAGGTGGTCTGGCATTTTACTTGATAAAGCCTTGGAAATCCAATCTACTCTTTGTCAGAGTAGTTTTACTTCTAGGAATTTACCCCAAAGATACGCTGGTAAAAAGAGGAAAAGATCCTTGTAAAGATAATTCATGACATCATTCTGAGAAATATCAATGAGTTTTAAATGCACAAAATTACCATTCATAGGACACTGGCTGAGTTCTATACAGCGGAGTACTGTGTCATTGAAGGAAAGAGTGAAGCAGCTCTGGATATTGCTAAGGAGTGATGGCTGGGATACGTAATTAAATGGAAAGGCAGAGTTGGAGAAAAGTGTCCATGCCACTGTTTACATAGGAGACAATATGATATACATGTTTGCATGTATCTTAAAAATGGAAGGAGAAACCATACCTTCTCTCTCTCTCTCTCTCTCTCTCTCTCTCTCTCTCTCTCTCTCTCTCTCTCTCCCTCCGCCTCTCTCTTTTTGGTAAAGCAACCTATGGGAACCGGGATAGAGGGGAGAGATATAAAAGCTAGATTTCTGAATCTACCTTGTTTGTAGATTTGACTTTGGAACTCCATTGATATGATCATTATAAAACAAAATTAAGTAAAAAAAGATTAAAACCCTTCAGAATTTTGATACACTATCAACTTTTTTCCTAAAAAGTTTATGTCCTGTTTTCCTCTTCTCAGTGCTTGAGGAGTAGTCTTTTGCCCCACACATTTGTCAGTACTGAATAGCCATCTTTTAAAATTTTGCCAATCCCATGGGCGAAAAATAGATTGCTGTTTTCATTTGCATCATCTGATGACTGGAGTGATTAAGCAGCTTTTTACTTGCTTATTATCTATTTGGTATTTCTTCTGTGAGGATGTCCTAGCTAGAGCAATCAAACAAAAAAA